TAATTCCTAAGATGCATCCTGTAATATGCCTACTGCAATGTGGACACTTCTTGAATATATTAAACCTTTTTGTCATGTAAAGGCTTACATGCCAGATCAGTTTTCTATTCAATAATTCATAAACGTTTTGTTTGATGTCCCATAATTTAATCCATTTTTCCACGTGTTTTCTGTATCCATTTCTCCTTCTTTCCTAAGCCTTCTGAATTTGGCCTTGGGGAAACAGTACCTCTGTGATTTCAAAGGGTTGATCATTCTATGTGTTGCATACTTCCTTAGTACTATTGTTCCTGTATTAGTCTGGATTGACTAGAGAAACAAATTCATAGACACTCATATTTGTATAAGAAAGAGCTTTATATAAAAAACAATTGTATATTGAGAAAATACCCTAGTCCTGTCCAGATCAAGTCCATAGGTCCAATATTGGGTCCCATATGTCTGAAACCAGTCTATAAATTCCTCTTCAGACTCACACAACACATGCAATGATGCCGAATTCAGGGATATCACAGGCCAGTGGATGAAAAGTCTTGTGGATCCAGTGGGAATGGAAGCATCTCAGCGCTGGCAGGGGTCTCCATGGGGCTCTTCCAGCTCCAGGGCTCTAGCTCCATCAGTGTAGCTCCACATGTCTTATCAGCAGGAAGAGGAAGCAAAGAGTGTGGGTCTGACCACCAGTGAGCTAATTATCAAGGGTTCATGAGGGAGGGGGTAGCAGGGAGGGAAGGGAAAAAGAGGAGCTGATACCAAGGGCTCAGGTAGAAAGAAAATGTTTTGAGAATGATGAGGACAATGAATGTACAAATGTGCTTGACACAATGGATGTATGTATGGATTGTAATCAGAGTGGTATGAACCTCCAATAAAATGATTTTTTTAAATTCAAGCCTCATGTTTCAACATTAAAAGATTCCATTGACAAATATCGAATAATGCAGGAATCCCCTAAAGAAGATGCAAAGAACACACTGTACCCAAAAGTGTGCCAAGTCATTGTAACTAAAAGAACTATCTGACACCCCACCATTTCAGGAGGTAACATATGAGCAAAAACCAATGGTATTGAAGGAAGAAGTTCAAGCCACGCTGAAAGCATTAGCTAAAAACAAGACTCCAAGAATTGGTGGAATAAATTTTAAATTTTAAACAAGCTGATGAAGCACTGGAAGCACTCACTCATCTGTGCCAAGACATATGAAAGACAGCTATTTGGTCAACTGATTGAAAGAGATCCATATTTGTACCCATTCCAAAGAAAAGTGACCCACCGTGATTCTTAAATTATTGAGCAATATCATAGATATTACATGCAAGTAAAATTTTTAAATCATTTTACAGGGGACTCTTACAGTTCTTATAACATTCCATATATCAATTGTATCAAGCATATTTGCACATATGTTGCCATCATCATTTCCAAAACATTTCTACTTGAGCCCTTGGTATAAGCTCCTCTTTTTTCTCTCCCTCCCCTCCCACCGTTGTGAATCCTTGATCAATTATATATTATTATTTCATATCTTACACGGTCCATTGTCTCCCTTCACCCACATTTCTGTTATTCATCCCCTTGGGGGGTGCACAAATACAATTTTTGCTGAAGATCATCTAACAATGGTTGCAGCAGTACATTTAAATGAAGCTGCCGGAGATTCAGGCTGGATTCAGAAGAGGACATAGAACAAAGGATACCACTGCTGATGGCAGATGGCTCTTGGCTCAAAGCAGAGACTACCAGAAAGATATGTACTTGTGTTTTATCGAGTATGCAAAGGCATTCAACTGTGTAGATCATAACAAACTATGAATAGCCTTGAGAAGAATAAGAATTTCAGAACAGTTCTTTGAGCTCATGTGGGACCTGCACATCGATCAAGAGCCAGTTGTGCAAACAGAACAAGGGAATCATCCATGGTTTAAAATCAGGAAAGGGTTGTATCCTCTTACCATACTTCTTTCAATTTGTATGCTGGGCAGAGAAGCTGGATTATATGAAGAATACGTCATCGAGATTGAAGGAAGGTTTATTCATAACACATGATAGGCAGGGGACACAAGAGTGCTTGCCAAAAAATGAGGAGACCTTGAAACATTCACTGTAAAAGATCAAGGATTTCAGCCCTTGGTATGGATTACAACTCGACCTAAAGCTTTGGTGCAGGTCACTGCAAGGCTAGGCCCCAATGGTTGCTTCCCAGTGGCCTACCCAGGTTAAAGGGCCTCATTCTTTCTGGTTCCTCAAAACCCACGTCCCCCTGGGTTCGCTGATCCTGTCCTGTTCCCTCAAGTCCAGCCTTTGGAAAAAACACATCTGGGCACACTGTTCATTTTGTTGCCCAAACTCCAATCCTACCAGTCCCTGGAGAAAGACACGCACATGTAGACACAAATAAACATAGACGTGTAGCTCCCTATGCTGACATCTATTAACATGTATGCACCCGTCCCACTGGTGCCAACACAGAGGTACATCCAGATGCCTGCACACAGTGTGTGAGGCTGTCTAGAGAAACAAAGCCAGTGACACCCACGTGTGTAACAAATGACTTGATATCAATAAACACGCTAGCCCAGTCCAGCTCAAGTCCATGGGTCAGGTGCTAAGAGGTCCTGGGTGGGTGAATTCAATTCAAGGTCACCAAGAACATGGCAGAGCACCAGCAAGTCTCCATCAGTTCCTGGGGACAGAAGGCCGCATGTGCTTCCGCTGGACCCAGACTCGGAATCCAAAAAATAGGAAAACAATGGAGCAGGGCAAGGAAGAGCTTAGTTCTATTCCATGTATCTCTTATAAAACAGCCACAACCCCAAGGATGTGTTATCAGGCTGTGGCCTGATTGAAAGGTTGAGCTCGCCTCCTATCATCACTCCTATCTGTCAGGTTGACAGAGAATCTAACCATCACACACAGGTTCAAGCATGAGGTTGCTTTCAATTGCTCTGAAGTCCGTCCTGTCCTGCGGAAATCCCAAGTGGATAGTGTCCCTAGGCTTTTCAGGACTGTCATCTTTTGGAAACAGAGTACCAGGCGCAGCTTCTGAAGCACCTCTGGGTGGGTTTGAACTGCCAACCTTTTGAATGCTGAATAGTTTATGCTGCCCAAGCATTCTTTAGATTCAGGCACATGAGAGTGCAAAAGTTGACACTGACATACACACTCCTCAATGTACAGAGACACAGACCTAGACATAAACACACAGCGTTATAGAACGCACATAAGCACACACTGGCTCACACAGACTGATTCACGTTTGTATACCTTTACGTATATCTCCATATACACAGGTGACCACACAGATACAAATATGGACTAAGTAGCCCTGAGCACACCAGACACTTATGCAGACATGTGCACACACAGAGATACGGGAGCACTCTCTCCATGCCCCAGGAAAAACAAAATTCCCGAAGGCAGGCCTCTCGCCCTCTTTGCACCATCTAGGAATTGCTGCATGAATCCAAACCCAACCTGGAGACTGCCACCCCGCAAAAAGGGAGTTAAGAGCAGTAGTCATTTTCTCTTTCAATGTCCACAGGATCTGAGCGAGTGGGGTCAGGGGAGGCCCAGGAGCCAAGGACAGGGCCGTAGACTCAGGAGATGGCGGCAAGGCCATCCAGTAGGAGCTGACTTTGATCCCAAACCCATAGGATGGGTAATCTGGTCCCTGCTTTGAGGTGGACTTGGAGTCCCGGAAGGGAGTTGATGATCCTTTCAGGACCGTTCTCAGGCGCACATCTCAAAACAAGCTGGGGGCTTTGATCTCTCCCAGAGACGGCTGGGGGAATGGGAGGTGGGCCAGAATTGGAAGCCAGAAAAACAAACTAGAGGAGCAGGTCAAGCCCAACACTCTCTTCTTTGTCCCCTTTCCCTGGAGCGTCTCCAAGTGGGTCTCACTGCCTCACCTAATCATGAATCGCTTCCTTCATCTTCATTTGGAAACATGTATTTATGTATGTTAACTTCTTACTGTAATGTGGGCAAAAGTTTACAGACCAAATTGATTGTATGTTCAGCCACTCGTACCCATTTTAATTTGTGACATGGGTTGTGATCCCTGTCATATACTGTGTATACTCGAGTATAAGTTGGCCCAAATATCAGCTAAGGCACCTAATTTTACCACCAAAATGGCATTTAAAATGTGCTGAAAAACTCGGCTTTTACACGAGTACAAATGGTAATCACACTTAACCTACTTCCCTATGTTTTCTGTTTCCATCTGTCCTTCTTTCCTGTCCATTCCTACCTTCTGAGCTTTATTCCTAAACACATGTTGCCTTTTGATCTCATGTACTTGATTAGTGGTGATAAGGTGCCTTCACCTTAGGTCGATCTTAGGCTAACTTTTAAACCAGGAGGATGAGTTCAGATCTAGAATAAAGGGTGATAAGGTTCATTCAAGGGTTTCACCGGTCTCCATCTGACCAGTTAGTCTGGACTTTTCCTGTTTGGACAGAAGCTCCCTTCATCTGAAGAGCTTCAAAGGAAGCCATGGTCATTGCTTTTCCTACTGCTCAAGGAGTAAAAAGTGGATATGAGTTGTAGGATTAACCCATCAAAGGCCTTTTCTTCTTGGGGGAAAGCTTAAGGCAAAGAGATGCGAGGATCGATATGGTGTAGAGTAGCCAGTGAAGGTCCATTTTAAAAAACCACGCCCACCCCCACATCCATAGCAAACCTAAAATAAGCTCTCCTACCAGCATCTCGATGGGAATGGTATACCTACAGGCCACCACCAGGTCTATGTGACTGCCTTCGGATGACACTGCAGCTAAACCCCTCAGCACCACCCACACTGCCCAGTCACTGGCTACTTTCCTCTATACCCTACCCTGCAGGAGGGCATGCTTCTGGGGTCTTCCCAACCAGGAGAGGGGTCCCTCAAAAATGAAGAAACAAGAGTCAGTGAATGTGGTGAGCTATTTGGATTTATTATCAAGAAGAGCTGGGAGACTAGCCCAGTGCCAAGAGTGGGTCAGGGCCAGCCATGGGCATCTGCAGGGAGAGGGCTGCAAGGGAGGGTCTCGGCATCCCTGGCTTAGCGGGAGCAGATGAAAGGCAGAGGCTGTACGCATGGAGTTCGTCGCCAGCCACCCCCTAGTGGAAGAGGATGCAAGTTTGTTAAGTGACAACCTGTCAGTGCCCCCTGACCCTTCTTCCCTGCTTGGGTCCCTCCTCCCCTTCACCTGCCACCATCTTGATCTCTCACCCACTCATTCCCCAAGACCCCTTCTAACTAAGGGTCCAGGAGCTAGGTCATGAGCTCGGAGTTTTCCATGGATTAGCATATGAGCCCTCCCAGAGTCAACACGAGGGGCTGCCATCATCCTCATACCACAGATGAGGGCATATTCTCATCCCTTCTGTCATCGGTCACTCACAATGTCACCATCATAGCAGAGGGAGGAAGAGGGCTACCCATGAGGATGGGAGCACATGTGCGGCTCTCCAAAGGTGGAGCCTGTCACCTATGTCTGACTGGAAGATCTCCTCCCTCTCAGTCTCATTCCCATGCAGGAGTTTGGCTCTCCAGATGGGGAGTGGGTAAGACGTTGGAGGAGATGTGTCCAGGGATCTCGAAGGGACATTTTGTAAGAGTCCTTCTAGCCACTCTTCTCCTTCCCCTGGGGTCCAGAGTAACTCACCTCTAGTGTTCATGGCCACACAGTTGCCACACCCACACCTTGGCTGTCCTGGGGCCCAGTAGGCATAATTCCAGCAGGTCCCATCAGTCCATTGAAAGTTCAGGCACTAGGGAAGTGAATGTCTGGGCTCAGAGCACAAAGATGGAGAGAGACAGACCGATCCAGGGGCCCTAGAGAGTGGCCACTGCTGATTTTTCTCACTGCTCCACCGTCCAGGACACAGCTAGCCCAGGGTCCCATCCCTGAGGGTTTATGAGGAATGACCATGAAGGGTCATCCCTCACGCCCCATCATCTCAGGAGCAGGCAACCTCAAACTTCAGTGTGGGTACAAATTTACTGGGGGGATCTTCTAGAAGGCTAATGACTCAGAAGGTCTGGGGAGGTGCCCAAGATCCTGCATTTCTAACAAGTTGCCAAGTGATTCTGAGACCACTGTTTCATGGATCAAACTCGGAAGAGCAAAAAGAAAGAGCCCTCATCCAACCACAAGCCCACAAATAGGCTGAGATAAGGTCCCCATATTACAGGTAAGAAAATAGGCTCTGAGAAAATCACTCATAAGTAGCCAAGTTGAGTCTGCGTCCTAAGAGGGTTATGTCAGAAAGTATTGCTTCTCAAATCCACTTCATACATGCATGAGTTCATTAAGGTCAAGTAGGGAAGCACATCCCTGTGTTCCATAGATGGTTATGGACATGTCCTCTCAATAAAACATCAGTCTTAATCTTGTTAGGGTGTCTAACAAAGGAAAAATGACCTGAGGCCCTTGTGCATGCCCAATCTGCTATTGTGACATATAAATTAAAGACAGCAGAATTCTTTGGAGAAGGGTTAGAGAGAGGGACACATCACTTTTAGATGTTTATAGACCTAGATAGAGGATATGTCAAGGGATCATAGCCTCCATCATGATATTTTTGTATGGTAGAGATTTCTGTGATTTTATGGCAGTACTTGCTGACTACCCATTGTATTTCATGCACCCAAGGGTAGGTGAGAAAATGTCTAACAACCAACTCTGAGAACAGTTAACAAGGCAGAATTGGGGACCATGGAGAATAATTTGTAGCAACCACTAATTTCCTTAAATACTCCCACCATGGTGGATTTCCAGCTACAGGCATGATGCCAATGATCGTGATGCTGGGAAGAGAGGCACAGTGCAAAACCCCGACACCCAAGCTCCAGCACAGCTCAGTCTGCTGCTCTGAAAATGCATCAGCAGCTAGTCTCAGCTGGAGCAGCAACGGGTCTTCCCTTGATCAAGCAGAAAGCACTCCTGGATGCAGGCCTGGGCCCCTCACTTACCCTAAGGAAGCCTCCAATCCACACCTGGCACACATTGAGCCTACTGACAGTACACAGGATTTGGGAGTTTGTGTGGAAGTTATGGATGGAGACAAGACTGCCTCCGTAGCACCTCTGGCAGACAGCCTGCAGAGAGAAGAGGACATGATGGGAAGAGATGGGGTAGAGAATTCACCTTCACCTGTTTTCTGTCCTTGAGGTTCCAGGAAAGAGTTCGCTTCCCTTTTCTGGTCAGAAATTAGGAACCTGCTGGCTCTCTTCAATCCCACCTCCTGCTCCTTATCAGTTGTCAGTGCATTCTCTGCTGGATATTAGAAACAATTCTTCTAGTCATGGTGGCCACCCATTATTGAGAGTTACCATCTCTCAGGGACCATTCCAAATGCTGCTTAAATAGGATGCCATGGCATCCGCCTGCAACTCTGAGAGACTGCTCCTGGCTCGCTCCACTTTACAAAGGAAACCACCCAAGCTGGGAAAGGTGAGGTGACCTGTGCAGGTAACACAGTCAATGAAAGGCAGACCATGGGTTTAACACGTGTAGTTTGAACACCAAATCCTATTGCCTAAACAATTGCTTCCTAACGAATAACCCCTAGACAATTCATTTCAGCGTCACCTGGGAATTTCTTTTAAACACAAACACCAGCACCACCCTAGACCTGCTGAATCAGACTTTGGGGAGCAAGCCTCTGCAACCTGGTCCCCAGGTAACTCTGATGCATTCTGGACTTGAACAAAGCAAACGAAGGCAGCCACAGTGATGCCTCGGGGGTTAAGTCCACCTGCTCATCTGTGGGAGAAAGAGGATATGCTCATAAACCCTAAAGAAGAGTTCTACTCTGTCCTATGGCTTGACTACAAATCAGAATCAACTTGATGGCTGGGGGTTGCTTCTCATGTAAATGAACAGGCAGCAGAAGATTGAATTCGCTTTCTTTTCCCCTATCCCATCCCTCCCCAACCTCCTGCCATTTACCTGAGCATTTACGAATGTCTGCTGTGCCAGCACCAGCCGGAACCCACAGGTCTTGCATCCAGGGGTGCCAAGCACTCGAACTGTTTCCTCTTCTCTGGGGCACTGCAAGTCCTTGTCCACGGGAGCTGACTCTAGATCCAGGGGCTCCTCTTTCTCAGGGCACTCTTTACACTCAGCAGCCTCAGACGCCGCCCCCTCTGACGGAATCTCCTTCTCAGCGAGGGCCAACTCTCCCTCTGGCTCCCCTGAGCATTCTAGATTCTGACTGGGATCTGTCACCGTCTCTGGCATCTCCAGTTTGGGGGCATCCTTTCCTGAGGAAAGAATGAACAGATAAATGCCCCCATGAAGCCCAGGGCACACTTATTCCAGAACCACGGACAGTTCCTAAAGCTCGCACTTAGAGCCGAGAAGATTCCTTAGGTATTTGGATAATTCCCTCTCTCGATTTAGAGCTACAAATTTATGAGACCCTGGCTTCTGCTTGCGACTAAAGGTGTGAGTTTGATGGAAGTAACTGTGAGAAAGAAGCTTGGAGCTATCACCGGTCTCCAACAAAAAACGTTCCAACCACAGCTTTCAGTTCAGAGGCGTTTGACCAGGAATGGACTGGGTTCCATGCTGAGGGGGAGATTCTGGCCCTGCCCTAAAAGGAGCAGGAATCAAAAAAAAGAGAAGGATGATGCACGAGATGAGGCAGGGAGGACTTACTCAGATGAAGAGCAGAAACTGTCCCCAGCAAGAGAAGCAGCAGGATCGGAGGGCAATTCATAGCTCCTGAGTCTTGTGGCAAAGACAGATGCCAACTTCTTCCTTTGGAGCTTGTCCTTCTGTGTCAGGCACACACCCTGGTACATGGTGAGACAGGCAAAACAATGTTTCACTAATTGATTGATTCAGGGTCCCATTACAGCGCTTGATCCTCGTCCTGTTTTGATTAGACCCTGAACTGCAACTTCAGGAAAAGAGCCCGGGGAAAGGGAAGCCCTTGTCCCTGAGACTTCTTTCTCTGCTCCCAAAGAAAGCACTCAACCCAAATCCTGCCCCCACGGGACACACAGGCTCAGGATCAAAGCTAGTTCATTGGTCCATTCATTCAATATGCCCTCTAGGTGCTCACCATAAATGCCCACCTTCCCCCAGACCCCGAATTCCTTCTCCCTGGGCAGCCAGGATGTACTCACCCCTCACAGAGTCTGAGAAGCCTCCTCAAAGCCTCTGACTGCTATGCACCAGAGACGGCCCTTATATTGGACTTTTGGGGAAGTGGGGGGAGGTCAGCATGGATTACCCCAGGGTGGGTGGAGCAGCAGAACTGATAACAAGAAGTCTGCTCTATCTCCTCCCCCTTGGTTCTGCTCTCATGGAACTCCAAGGGCCTTTCCTGAGCCTGCAGTCATGTGGTCTCCCTATGTCCTGGTTTGCTCCAAAAGGTCTTATGTCTTTTCCCATTGTCTAGGCACCAATGATAGCTACTTTTGCCCCTCAAGTCTCCCTGTCTGAACAATATTCCTTAACTCCAAAGGCAGCTTCCCACTGGTTCACATGCCAGGAAATGACGTGGGGACTCCTAATGGAAAGTGGGGACCAGGGAAGGGAGGAAAGAGGGAGTAGGCAGAAAGGAGCCTCAGTCCTTCTAATCCCTTACCTGGACAGGTCCTTCCTTTATACATCACAACGCTGATTCCACACCTCCACCTCAACACCACCCAAAATATAGTATTATCTTCTCTTCACAGAAGATTTAGAATTAGACCCAGAGAGGCGCAGTAACTCTCCAAAGCCAAACAGGAGGTGAGGGAACCTGCGTTGCCAGGTAATTTTGGCCCTAAGAGCTTCTCTCTCTTTATTCTTTAGCTTTTGTTTAACTCTCTCTTGTTCCCTCCTTCTTTCCCACCTCTCTATCCTTCTCTGTCTTTCTCTCTGCAATATGGGGAAGGAAAAAAAAAAAGCCCTACAATCTTGCCATTTCTTGTGGATTTCTAAATCAAGATCTTCAGCTTCAATGCTTTTGATACTTAGGGTCATATCATTCAATCTAGTGTAGGATGTTTACCAGCACCCTGGTCTATACCCACAGGTATCAGTCACACCTCCCTCAAGTCATGGCAACAACAAATGGGAGCCACAAATGCTGCTGGTTGAAGATCACTCATCCTGAATATGCCAACAGGCCAAACCTAGGTGGTGGCGAAGAGGCAGTGACTGAAATACAAAGCAGAGTTATTTAAACATGATGTGGCCTGTTTTCCCAGGGACCTGGCCCCCTCTCCCCACAGGTCTCCACCACCACCGGCGCCAGGACTAGAGTACAGTGAGTGAGACCCTTGTCTCAGGTACAAAATTTAAGGAAATGCAAAAAAAAAGTCTGTTCAATAAAAAGAACATTTAATTCTGTGTTTTATAAGTGAAACAAAAGCAAAAATATCCACAGTTAACCAATATTAGGAAATTAAAAAGTCAAGTTTAGGGTCATGATTTAATGAGACTGCCTAGGCAAATGGACTGATATCATTTTTAGTGCTTCTCCTTTATCTCAGAGGAACGCTGGTGGTTCAGTAGACAAAGTCTTCTTCTGATAACAAAGCAGGTGGCAGTTCCAACCCACCAACCAATATATGGTAGAGTGGTATAGAATTTTGATTCTATAATAATTGGAACCCTATAGGAAATTCCTACTCTGCCCTGTAAGATCACTATGAGACAGAATTGACTGAATAGCAAAAGGTGCTCTGGAGTTGATTCTAGCTCCTAGGTAGCTGAGTGGCCTGGAATACTATACCCTTGCAAGAAGTTATTCAGGGGGCAAAACTTGGTCTCTATTAGCTTGGAGTAGCAGAGGAAGAGTCAGGAAAAGCAGGAGAATTTTGTGCCTAATTACTCCCACAAACAAATACGTCCTTTGCCCTGAGAAGTGAAGAATGAAATGATGCCAGCAACTATTATGGAAAATTTTGATCAGAGATTTATAGGAGATTCTAGCGAATCTCGGATCAACAATAGAAACATGCAGAACAAATTGCTAAATTCTATAGAAACGATACTTCCTGGAACCCTGGAAACTGAATACATTCTTCCAAAGCAGGGGTCCTCAAACTTTTTAAACAGGGAGCCAGTTCACTCTCCCTCAGACCTGCTGGAGGGCAAGACTATAGTTTTTTTTAAAAAAACTATGAACAAATTCCTATGCACATTGCACATATCTTATTCTGAAATAAAAAAACCAAACGGGGCCAAAACACTCGGCGGGCCAGATCAATGTCCTCAGCGGGCTGCATGTGGCCCGCGGGCCGTAGTTTGAGGACCCTGCTCCGAAGGGTTGCCCCGAGATCACCAGTCCACCTTCAATGCAAAATACTCCCTGAAGTCTTCTTCCAATGGGATGGCATGTTGACTTATTTGGTAAAGAATATTTGCCTGAAATATGCTGTCCTTTTAAAGGATCGTCTGCATGGGATCAAATTGACAGGAGCAACTCAAACTTTAAGTAAGAGGCTCAGGGATCCATGAGTTTACATCAATGGAGAGTGAACGATTCTCAAAGAGAGAGTGAGCCTGGTTGCACACTTGAAAATGTTACGCCTTGTACATGCAGACACTGTTGGGTTTGTGTGTGTATCACTTTGTATACTTCTAAGAACAATAAAAATGGAAAACACAAATGTATCACCCAAGCTCCAGCAAAATTCACTGCAGTCCAGAGAAAGGCAGACCTCAACCAAGTCCTGACGTCCCCGGATCTCCCGGACAGGAGAGTGGGGGCAGTTAGCTGATGACTCCAGTCTACGCCATCCTTTGTAGGCTGTGTGTCTTGGTTTTCCCTGTTCAAGCCTGGCTTTTCAGTGCTCAGGGAACCAAGGACTGGGAGCCCAGAGTGGGTGAAGTTTGGGATTCTTTCTGTACTCTTCTTTCCCCAAGGGCTTTCAAATGGAGAAGTCTGAGGGAGGCCTCTTCTAGGTTGTTATTTCAGAGTAACGGTCAGCACCATATCTTCCCCACCCAACGGACGAGCCTCTGAGCTTATCTACCTGACTGTGGGGAAACTGCCCACTCAAGGGCTCAAACCCTGATTTCTCGGTCTCAACTTTCAAACTTTTCAAGTGGGTGAGGCGGTGGACGACTACACCTACTCCCCCATTCCTCTCCTCCATCCTACAACTCATGCCAGAAATGCCTTTCACTGATAGGTGAGGATGACCCGTAAGGTCAGCTCCAACAATATGACTCTCATCTGCCTGTTTACTGCAAAAGCTGAGAGAAAGTAAGTAACTTGCCTAAGCTCACACAAGGAGCCCTGGCGGTATAGTAGTTCAGCACTGGGTCGCAAGCTGCATGGTCTGCAGTTCAAAACCACTAGCAGCTCCTCAGTAGACAGACTGGACTCCGTGCTCCTGTAAACAGTTACAGTCTCGGAAACCCACCAGGAATTGCTGCGCCAGCATTGATTCGATGGCAGTGAATGGAAAATCTCATACACCTAGTAAATAATGACAAGTAACTGGACCAAAATCTATCCAACTTTTAAGTCCTGACCCAAGGTGTTATCTTACAAAACTGGCTAGATAGACATGCCACCCAGGGAACCTTTTTAGCATCCATTGAATTCCAACTGTCTGGCTTACTCTTTGCAATTCTGTTCATATGTGTTTCCAACTGCATATTGACCCAAGTCTATCCATACCCATTGTATTAGTCTGGGTACTTTAGAGAAACAAATCCACATAAACTCATGTATAAGAGAGAGTTTTATATAAAGGGTACTTGCACATCAAGAAAACATCCCAACCCAGTGCTGCCCTAGCCCACAAGCCCAACATTAACCCATATGTCTGACACCAATCTACAAAGTCCTCCTCCATCTCACAAAACAGATGCAATGATGCCGACTGTAGGAGGAAAGCAGAGTCAGTGAGCGTGTAAGCATCTCAGTGCTGGCAGGGGTCTCCACATGGGTGCTCCAGCACCCAGGGCTGCATCGGGGTAGGTCCGTGTAGCTTCTCCTCAGGGTGTCTTGCAGGAAGTGAACCTTGCCTGCCGAAGCAGGGAACTGGCAAAGGCAGCTGTTGGTCCGACCATCAGAAAGCAAGAGACCGGAGAACTAGAAAGCCGAGGCTCACTGAGCCAATTTATCCCTCTGCCTTTCAATTAACCCGACATGTTTATCGACCAGGTTGGCACAATAAACTAACTACCTCACCCATCGTATGCAGAACAGGGATCTCTCCATCTTGAGAGACAGTCGGTTGCAAGGTTGTGGTTGTTTTATGAGCTCTCTTTGAGTCAGGCCCTGACTTCTCATAACTCAAGACAATCCAACAGAACACTGTCTAACCCTCTGCCAGCTACAGGATCAGTCAGACATCAGATCATAAGGTTTTCATTGGGTGCATTTTGGAATTAAATCGTTGAGTCTTTCTTCTTATTTTGCCTTAGTCTGGAAGCTCCATTCATACCTATTCTTCACTCTAGCAATAGGCAAGCTTCCACTGACAAACAGGTGGGAGCTCTCCATGAGCTGCATTGGCTTAAAATTGAACTTGGATCACCCGCTTTGAAGGGCAGAATGCTGCCACTGGACCACCAAGTGCTTTGAGAAGCAGCGCAACGTGATGTACAGTGAAGCCACAAGTTCCAGAGCCAGCCCTTCATGTCTCAGAAGGATCAACGCCTGCCTCTGAAGGTTGTTCTAGGATTACCTGAGACCACTTCCAGGAAAACTCCCACAACCATGCCTGATGCAAGCAATTCATGGTGGTCCTGGAGTGGCCCCTTC